GAGTATACTCCAAACATCCGGAAACTAGCCTTAGCTACTCATTGGGGAAGTACGCTTCAGTTTTCCAAGCAGAGGTGTACGCAATTCTCCAATGTGCGGAAGAAAATAACAGGAGAGCTGTGGAAAACGAGCAGATCCGTATTATGTCAGACAGTCAAGCGGCACTTAAGGCAATAGAAAGCCAGGAAGTGACATCTCGACTGGTATGGGATTGCAAGAGGGAACTGAGAACTTTGGCAGACCGGAACTGCGTCAAGCTAATCTGGGTGCCAGGTCATCAGGGGATCGCTGGCAATGAGAAGGCTGACGAACTCGCAAGAAGAGGGTCGGACAACGAGCCAGATCCAGGACAGACTCTTGGAGTACCAAAACGTACAGCACGAGGGTCAGTTAAAGACTGGTTTCAGGCAAAACACAAGAGCTACTGGGAAAACATCCCAAGAAACAGACATGGGAAACAATACATTAAGGAACCAAGTCATAAACGAACTGTAGACCTGCTCAACTTGAACAGAGCACAGATAAAAACTGTTACGGGACTCATGACTGGCCACGCGCCAGTAAAGGAGCATCTCACCAGAATGGGACTGTACAATGGCGACCCAAGCTGCAGATTATGTGGCAAGGAACCAGAAACAGTAGCACATATACTGTGCCGATGTGAGGCATTGGACCGCAGAAGACAGAAGATCTTTGGGCAACCAGTTGGCGAACCAGAAATATTCAACTCACATCCAGTGAAGGATTTGTACAGACTTGTTCAAGGTACAGAGATAATGGAGTGGGCACAATAAAGAACATTAGGTAAGATACAATGGGCCACCATAGGCCTAAGTGTCGTCGGAGACATGGTCAGACGAGCCTACAAACGGGGTGGAGTTTTTAGTGGGTAAACCCTGGCTAGAGTCAGGGGAGTCCCACACTACCATATGGGGGATAGGACCCATATGGTGTCCATAAAGGATTTAAACCACCTCGACAAAAAAAAAAAAAAAAAAAAAAACCCTGACCCCCAGGGGAGTAAGAAATGGAGGTAACATTGAAATCTTTAATGGAAACCCCTATTTTTTATTGCAGATTCTGGAAGAGCATTAAAAACTATGAAGCTTTTATTCGGGAACTTCTTTTTTATTTTCACAAGATGGCGCTGCGATCGTAAAAAATAATATTTCACTATTTACACATTCCAACCCCCAGAAGACGAGGAAGAGTGTAGGGTGTGATATTTTCCCAGACAAACGCCATTGGGGTGATATTCACACGACAAATTAACGCTAAACGAACTTACTTACCTTGACACCTCTACATAGAAAAGAGAAAAATAAGCATGTTTCAGCAATTATGGTATCATTTAGGTCAGACTAAAGCTGGTTTTAAGTGAGATTTGACTACTTTATCAAGTGTTCGAAATGACCTCCATTTTCTTGAATACACAAGTTCACTCGTTTTTAAAAATTCCGCACTTTTCGCTTCCAACATAGCAGGCGTTATCTTTCATATTCTCGCGTGTGGTTGGGGGTTCGCGAAACACAATGTTTTTGATGTAACCCCACAGAAAGAACTCTGGGGAAGTCAAGTCGGGTGATCTGGGTGGCCAACTACAAACTAAACAGTAAAAATATTGTTTTTCAAGATCGCAGCGCCATCTTGTGAAAATAAAAAAGAAGTTCCTGAATAAAAGCTCCATAGTTTTTAATGCTCTTCCAGAATCAGCCATAAAAAATAGGGGTTTCCATTAAAGATTTCAATGTTACCTCTATTTCCCACTCCCCTGGGGGTCAGGGGGTAAAACTTGTTTTATAACCAGACGTCCCCCTCCAAACCATACAACTTTTATTCGGCAATTTTTTTTGTCAGATGCATACATTTCGAGAAATTTCCAAATAAAGATTAAAATGGGACACCCGGTATATATATATCAGAGTAATTTGTATTTGAGGAAAAATATTGATACATTTCAACTCAATTCCTCAAATCACAATTATGACACCAGAAACTCTGATCATCTATGTGTTCCCGCACACAAAACTACGAAACTGGAGAATGGTTTAAGATATATGGGAATGAAAATGTACAACAAACTTCCACTGAATACCAGAGGTATAGACTCCTACAGTGGTTTCAAAAAGACAATAAAACTTATGATGATAAATGTAAGCATAGTGTAAAGGAATACCTCCAGGATAGCTTGTAAGAACCTTTTACCTTTATTTTGTGCCGCCTGTACTTTTGTTATACAGGGTGCGGCACCGAAAACGAAACAGAGGCTCTGTAGGTCGCCAAAACCGGATTATCAAAAAAAACTGAAACAGGTCAACTACATTTTCGAGGGGGACATCTTTCTAAAATATTTTCAGCCCTTCGGCGTTGCCGCTTCTAAAGAAAAGAAGCAACAACTTTGTTATTTCAAATGGAACACCTTGTATTTCATTGCATTTTTAGATTCTCCCCGAAGAGCTGATTTCATCAATGCATCACACTTGGGGTCTAGCTGTAATGGTTTCAGGGATATAAAGTGTTCAAAATCGAGATTTTTCAACTTTGACATTTTTTTGTGTCGAAACTATTCATTATTGGTCGAAACGGCTCTCATGTCCCTATCTCAACTTGTGATTTACTATCTACTGACATTTATTAAACTGAAACCATTACAGCTAGACCCCAAGTGTGATGCATTGATGAAATCAGCTCTTCGGGGAGAATCTAAAAATGCAATAAAATACAAGGTGTTCCATTTGAAATAACAAAGTTGTTGCTTCTTTTCTTTAGAAGCGGCAACGCCGCAGGGCTGAAAATATTTTAGAAAGATGTCCCCCTCGAAAATGTAGTTGACCTGTTTCAGTTTTTTTTGATAATCCGGTTTTGGCGACCTACAGAGCCTCTGTTTCGTTTTCGGTGCCGCACCCTGTATACAATTTTTTTTAATGTGATAATCTTTAGCTGATTTTACACACACTTTGTAGAGTAAGTTATTGACTTGTCCTATACATTCTTGTAATGTCACGGAGGATAAATAAATATTTCTATTTCAATTTCTATCATTGTATTCAGTATTCATCTTAAATATGGCATTCTGAACTGGGGCAACTCCTCTACCGTATGTCGGGTGTTTTGTATACAAAAATATGCTATTCGGATCATTGCCAAGTTGGGCTATAGAGATTCATGTAGACAAAAGTTTTCAGAATTTGAAAATTTTAACGCTAGCTGGAGTATACATAATGGAAGCTTGCACATATATCTACCGGAATAGAAATACATTAGCTGCTAATAGAGCCTATCATAATCATTCTACCCGAAATGCCCACTTGTTATTACCAAGTCAACATCGCACAGCTCTTTACCAAAGAAGTTTTGAGTTTCAGGGCTGCAAACTTTTCAATAAACTACCCGATAACATAAGAAATTCTGGAAATTTACATATCTTTAAATCAAAACTGAAACAACTTCTTCTGTCAAAGAACTGCTACAGTATAGATGAATTTTATCTGTAATCCATTACCATATGTTTATATAGAAGGGAATTACTTACATAATATATCATTGTAGAGGAGTTTCTCTCGTGATTTGCCATTTGTACTTTTATTTATACATATTTGTTAATTTTATTTATGACGTGTATGTGTTGTTTCTATACCTATATCCAGTTTCATTCATTTATATTTGTCATTTTATCTTTTATTCTATATGTTATATGTATAACAATGTTTCGTACTTTTTGGCGTTTTACTCTTTTTTATTTGTGTTACCACGCTGTTGGTGTGCGAAGTAATTTGAGAAAATAAAGAAATTATTATTATTATTATTATTATAATAAAAATCTCTCAGAAAAGAATTTAAAAATATGCAATGCTATTTGAATAAAAAAATTGACAATCTTATGAAGAAAGGATATCTCTCTTCCTCATTTTATATATTAGGTCGAGTTAGGTTAGATCACCCTGTGTGTAAATTTTTTTTTGCAGTTCAATATTAATTGTAATGAGAAAAATAAATTGTTACACTAATGTATAGTACATTTCATGAAGTTAAAAAAAATTAGATTGTTCGAAAGAAGTAGTCTCTTTTTTTGTAGAGAGTTTAACTTCCTGAAATTCTGAAATCATTGAATTTTTCGTTGACAACATAAGAATATTAAATAAAACTTCCGTTTACTTACTAAAGTTCTCGAATTTGCGCGCAATCACAGCATACTTTCTGTGAGACGTGCACGCAATTGCATCATGAGATTAGAACACCCCATCGAGAATCCTGACCGCTGTGCGTAATTGCAGTATGCTTGGAAATTGCATTTGAATCGGTCGAATTTTTCAAAAAATACAGTTACGCCCCCACTACATGTTTACACCGTATCCCACATAAAATGTCCCCCACTCTGACGAATCAATCGCGCGATCGAATAACTTGAAATTTGTTCACCCAGTATATTACTCGAAATATGCTATTGAATAAGTCGTATGTATACGAAATTTGTTCACCCAGTATATTTGATGATGATTACTCGAAATATGCTATTGAATAAGTCGTATGTATACAATATTCAAGTACACCTCATTACTACAAATTCAACAATACTGGGTTTGATGCGATTTGTTCAAAAAACATCGAAGATATGGTCAAAGAACTGTTTGAATAATGGAAGCGGTCATTCTCAGAATGTATGGTCTATAAACGTTGCGAGTGGATATAGTCGTCCATATTTTTTCGAAAAAAATTCGAATGGTGAGTCATTTTAGCTGAGACACGGTGTATATATGTATAAAATAGTCAATAAATATTATCTATCTATCTATCAATAGAGTCACTGGTTGCAAGCTCGCTCTACTGCGTGATATTGATCTCTGAAGTATATTATATTTAAATTTTATTTCATTTTAGTCACATCTTAACGACATTCGACGCCAATACTTGTAGTGTTTATTGATATTGATATGATGAAGACAGGCATTCAATTGCATAAATAGAATTACGTAAAACAATAAATTTCTATTTGCACCCACCTCTCAAAAACATTATTTTCGTGAGGCAAGACTCCAAGGTGGCTCCTCTTCCTTCTTCCCCGACAAGATGGAGTTCATCAACAACAATTAGTCCTATTTCATCTAATCTACCTGTTTCTATGAGGCTATTAACTATTCCCAGAGCCTTTTCGATGGTAGCAATATACACAGAATTTTTCCTTCTTCTTTTTCTTGGTGGATATATTCCTTTGCTGGAAGCATATTCTTCAACCAAAAAATCAAGAGCGACTCCAAAAGGTGACAAGGCCCATACCTATTGGAAGTTGAAATTAGTGAAAAAAAGATTTGATTTATCAAGGTGAGTACCTTTTCTTGTACTATGGATACATATGGTAAAATCAATAAAGCATTACGTCTATAACACAAGATTTCTCTGAACATCAATATTTCAGCCACTAACGTTTTGCCTCCACTCGTTGGTAAGGCATATATTAAATTACTTTTGTTTTCGATTGCAGGTAACTTGAGACATTCATCTTGCCAATCTAAAATAAATTCATAAAAACCCAGATAGCACAATGTCATTCATAGAATATTCGTCGAGAATATTTTAATATTCTCACAATATGATACAAATATTCTAGGGATGTGTTTCGAACATTCGGAATGAACTGTTTTAAATATTCTGGGAATATTCCTAGTATATTGAGGGAGCATGAAGAAAATTAACAAAAGCTTGCTCCTACTATCTTGTGATCGAATTTTTACGAACCAGAAACCTCAACCACTTCGACACGAACCTTATTGATTAATGAAATGAATAGCAAGATGACATCACTGAATTAGTGGGATAATCATAATTGAGTATTGAGAATATGATAGGTTATGTTTTCTCAGAATATTCAATAATAATATTCTCAGAACATTCGATATTCTGAGAATATGTCAAATTGAATGTTCATAGAATATTCGCTGCAGGATGAGAATATTCTATGATCATTCTGAGAACATTCTTTAAGAATATTTGAACGTTGTCAGAATATTCATAGAATATTCTGTGCTGTCTGGGAAAGATATGATAACAAAGTGAACAAGCCAGATGAAATAAATTAAATGAGATCCATTCCTACATTCAACCTCCATCGAGTGACAGTTGCAACCATTCAATTTTCAAATAGGATTGAGAGCCTTATGATACCTCATTCAAAAGGACTCTCTTCAAACATACCATGGTTAAAAAATGTATCATAGACATTAGCAGTGCAATGAAAAATATTCATTTGAACAACAAAATTAGCTATAATACAAAAAAATATATAATTTATTTCTAATATTAAGAAAACAAGCAAGATTAACTGCAGTTTCGCGTCTGTTCGGCGTAACACCTACAAATATGACATTTTAGAAGAATATATGACACCAGGTATAACAGACATTATTGAAACGTTCTCATATCTTTCTTTCATTCTTCCTACGTAAATTCATGATCCCATGAACTCAGCAGAACAAAAATATTTCCGGATTACAAACCCAAGAATCAACAAGCAATTTTAATATACAGGGTAGGGCATTGATGCGTCGGGGCTCGATTTCTCGAGTTCTATGATAGCTAGAATCTAGATTCAAAAACGAATGTAAATGAGACAACAAGGTCCATAACAAGAAATTATTGCCGCATAAACAGGGGGCACCGGAAAAAATCTAGATGGTTAGGATCACTTTTTTAAATGGAATGCTCTGTATATTATCACATTTTTTTAAGCATTTCTGTGACAACTTTCATAATATTGTTGACTATATCTCGAGATCATTTCAGAGTTATTGATTTTTTTGTCGAAAAAATGTCATCTGCAGATAGATGCATACCGAAAAAATCACTGTAGTGACAATTATGAAATTCGAGAGAGAATGTTCATATATATATATATATATTTGATGGAAAGATGCGTGATATTTCTGTAGAATTGTCATGCCCTAATTATAGAGGGTGGCTAAAAATGATTTTTCAATTCAGAACTTGTGGAAGTGATTTTTCTCGAGTTTTTCAAATGGAATACATTATATATATTAAGAGGCCAATTGATGTGAAATCGAAACACGAACATCTTTCATCTCAACATCCATATTGATATTCGTAGCCATTTTTGAATTTTCGAACTTCGGAAATTATAGGCTGGCCATTTTCATAGATTCACATTCTTGTTACACATCAGTTATCAAAACATCAACATTTTTGATGTTTTAATATCAGATGAGAATGTGTATCGATGAAAATGACCAACCGATAATTTTCGTTCAATAATTCAAAAATGGTTACGAATATAAGTATGGATGTTGAGATAAAAGATGTTCGTGTTTCGATTTTACTCCAAATGGCCTACAAATATATGGGGTGTTCCATCTGAAAAACTCCAGAAGAATCACTTCCAAAAGTTCTGAATTCGAGGGCATGAAAATTCTACAGAAATATCACGCATCTTACCATCAAATGATATCATGATTATTCTCTCTTGAATTTCATAATTGTGACTACAGTGATTTTTTCGGTATGCATCTGCAGATGACATTATTTCGACAAAAAATTAATATTATAGGAGTTGTTAGAGGTTACAGGTAAGCTTCAAAAAATTTGCTAATATACAGGGCATTCCATTTGAAAAAAGTGATCCTGACCCTCTAGATTTTGTCCGGTGCCCCCTGTATATGCGGCTATGATTTCTAGTTATGGACCTTTTATCTCATTCACATTCGTTTTTGAATCAAGTTTCTAGCTATCATAGAACTCGAGCAATCGAGCTCCGACGCACTAATGCCCCACCCTGTATACCTATTTTTGTTTTTACAGTTTTATTGAAAGCTGTCCTGAGCTTCTTCTACAGTTATTGATACATGAAAGGGACAACTCATGAATGGTCCCTTCATTTGACATCCTGTATTTCCTGAAGGAACCGCGAATAGAATATTATTTTTATTCTTATTGTTATTGCTTAAACGTTAAATGGTAATAAGGAGACAGATTCAACCAAGTGGTTGGAATATTAAAAAATATCCAATTTTCTTCAAACATGGATGTACTGTTTCATCTTTCGGAGCAAACGGAAGAGAATCCCTATTATGTTCGAGGAATATCGTGAGTACCTAGGGAGGATAGGGAGAGAAGGTAGGCATTGAAGTTTTTTCAACTTCCGGAAATTATATGTTCTTGGAAATACTTCCCTTGGCAAATAATTTAAAAGCTTTGTCGTTCTATAATCTTGAAAAGTTTAAAACAATCTAATACCTACCTTCTCTCCCTATCCTTAGGTGCGCACGAACATTATAGGGATTTCCCTTCGTGCGCTCCAAGCGATAAGAAAACGAGTTTTGATATAAAGAGTTCCTCGTATTATCTTGATGTTGATGACAAGAGGATGTGCTGGCTGGCATTTCTAGTGATGGAATAATAGCCGAGATTACTGAAGAGCCTTTTTCGTGGAAGTACCAATTAAAAAGTGAAAGGTCTCCGACTTTCCAACGGTGTTCCAATGATGTCAAGGAATTAGTGAGTGCGAAATCACCAACTAGGTGAATGCTGGGATATGTGGGAACAGAATATGGTGCTACATTTAGTAGTAATAATATAAATAATCATATTATGTCGCTCGATACAACATCTCGCATACTTGTACTTATCATCGTTCAAGAACAACAATTCAACGTGAGTTTCGCTAAAAGTTAGGAAAGTTATAGAAGACTTACGAAGAAACAGATAAAGCGTCAGTGTACAGGCTGTCCCATTTTCGATGACCTTACGGGATATCTCACTTATTTTTAGAGATAGAGATTTACGGTTTTCGCGAACGTTGGCTACTTTTTTGTGAATCTCACGATACCGCAAACAAAATTTGCAAATCTCGCTTTGTTTTTGAGATACAGGGCAAAATTTAAAATGTTGCATTTTGGGACCCCCCCTGTATCTCAGTTATCTTTAAACTCATCGAGAAGGTAAGGACTGCCTTTTGCCCTTTTTTTCACGTAGGATCCAGTGGCCTAGTGAGATTTTAGAAATTAGCTACAATTATGTATGTCTCAATTTTAACAACATTTAACATTTACAAATATTCAGTACTATTTATCGACTATAAAAGCGGTGGATTTTATCAGTGGCTATGGAAAAAAAGTGAGTGTATAGAATGTTTAATAAACCTTGTCACCTACCTGTCGAATTTGAAAATTTTTCATCCTGGATTAGTATTCACATACTAATCCAGGATATGAAAACTGAAAAAAAAAAAAAATAGATATGGTTGTGATATAAGTTGGTTTCAAAATTTTCGTAGTTTTGACATCCTGGATTCTCATTTGCCGCTGTACGAAAATTAGACACCTACTGATTACGTCCACAGCTAATATAGTAAATAAATAGTGCTGAATATTAGTAAATGTTGAATGTTGGTAAAATTAAAACTAGTGTGATGAATCACTGTATCAGCAACAACGTAAATATGAAAATTCTTGATATGGTCGACGTTGCCACATATTTACAAGATCCATGGATAAAATATTCAGTGAAAAAATAGAAATTATCTAAATTCATATCCAATACTTCAAATTTCTCATAAGTGTTAGTATATATGTTATTAGTATATAGTATATATCTTTAGAAAGCTGAAAAATATAAAAATATATACAGGGTGTTCCTTTCAAAAAACATAACTTTGGGTTATATCTGAAAATAAGTGAGATATCCCGTAAGGACATCGAAAATGGGACAGCCTGTACACAGCTTGGTGACATAACCCTAAATCTGTTATTTCTACTTCCCAAACTAACATTTAAAAGACAAATAATTTGTGATTTGAGTGATTTGGAAAGTATGAACCAAAAAAGTCGACCATTATTGACGTTCAGCAAAATGGGTAAATCCTCCGGTAAATCTCACAAATAAAATTGAAAACATGAAGACAGGGGTGAATGACCCTATTCTCATTCATAAATGTCCACGCCCAAATCTGGTTCCACGTCGATGAGAGCCAACATGGAATGCAGCATACAAAGTTCAAACAAAATTATTGAACACTAGTTCTGTCGCAATTTGTAGCTTAAAGTTGATACTTTTGTAGAACATTAGAATCTGTTGGGGTTAGAAGTAGCTTTTCGCGTAGAATAAGGGGCCGAGTTTTTATGATGCAGCTGTAGCGATGAATCTGACATGACTTTACCATGAAGAGAAATACCAGACATCATTATTCAGGCATACTGGGTTCCGCTTTTCTAGAGAAAATACAGCTTCAAGTTTTGGTGGCATTGAGCAGGCCTTCGTCGTGAGTTTTGAGTTTCCTGGGATGGAATCAGAAATCTGGAAAAGATCGCAGTATGAGGATCTTGTAGACAACACTTTATTGAGAATAAAATCTTGTGTGTACCTTGCATTCATATTCATTCATTCTTCATGTAACAAATGCAGAATTGTGATCTAAACTGTGACTTGCATACGTATCCTACCAGGCACGGTGAATTGACGAAATAAAAAATGTACACAGACGAGGAAATCATTTCAAAATTAAACTAAAATTTCTGGATATTTCAATCGATGTAATGCTTTTCATATATATTCTTATACTTTGTGGTATTGGGAAAGGTTGCAGACTGAATATTCTGTGTACTGTGGTTCTGTTATATTTTCATGTATATGTATATACATTGTGTGTGAATTTCTTGTTGTCTGACGTATCCTATGTCATTTTTTTAAGATCGTGAAGGATTCAATACATTTTTAATAGTTTCTTGTAGAACGTCAGAATTGATGGCCACTGTATCAAGCAATACTCCGTCCACCACCACATGGTGTGATCTATCCAAGCACCGAAATTATTCCGAAATTTATGAATCTACCTGTAACTGTGTTTTATTCACAATAGTTCATGTAAAACCCGACAGCCACGTCAAAAATATACCCTCATCTATTAGTTTTACTTCAAAGCCTGTGTATGTTTAAATGTGCTGATTATATCAATTGGAATTGATGAAACACAACATTTGATGGCGAAAACCACAAATGAAACGTTTGATTCCTTCAGAAATTACAGGATGTCAAAAAAGGTGACAAATAATTACTGTTACTCTCAAAAAAATGACTGTTGCGTATCTGAATATCACGTAGATTTTCAAAAATAATTTCAATGATGCCATCATTTCAGATTATTAGATAAACTTCTCTGAAACGATTAGATTACCATATGTCTTATGTAATATGCATATTTCGCTGACACATTAGTTTCATCAACTGTAACGAAATTTTGTCAATTGACAAATAACCATTTCATTGAAACATTGAAATCAATACCCGGTGGCCGAGAGCGCAAAGGCGCTGAATTTGTAAGAGAACTCCCACCGAGGCATAGGATCAAGTCCCAGTTAGGCCATGGATGTTTGTGTGTGTATGCTCCCCTAACCCCCCACAAGTTTCGACTTATAGGGCGTTGGTTCCAGAGCTGGGAACAACGAGGAATTGCAATGAAGAATTGAAAATTAATTATTTACTCAATAACTTTTGAAAGCGGACCCTACAGTTTAACTTACCATATAACTCATCTATTCCTTTATATTGTTTGATAAGATCTTTCACTTTCAACGGTAACCCAAAAAATGACCCTAAACTGTGAAATTCGACTTTTTTATCAGATACTGTAAGGTTCAAAGTATTATCAACTATTTTCTTTGGATGTGATTTTGTGGCGTTATTTATCAAAGCTTTTCTTATAATACTCCCAAAACTCAAATTGAAACTCATGTTGTTCAAAATAGTGTCTTCAGTCCATTCAACAGGCTGCGTATCATTTTTGGACTTTTCATCTTCAGGAGGTTTCAGTTCATCACTAAATATTATATCTAAAATTTCATCAGGTACACGCTGTTCAGCATCTACTGTGCCCATTGCATAAATTGAGTGTTCTATTTGTTCAAATAGATTGTCAACTTCCTGGCGATATTGAGTGGTGATTTTATCATTTTCAAAAAGTATTGATCTATTGCCAATTTCTTCATCAAGGCTAGTAAGCTTTATGGACTCTCGGGATTTAATTTTTTGGTTAAAAGATAATAACAAAGGCAACTTCGTTGTCTCATCAGACAATCTCGATAAATTATCAGTCTTGACAGCATCAATAATTTCATCAGGTTGAACTTCTTCATCTATTTGGAGCCGAGCTTGCGTACTTAAAAACTGAGTAGAAAGTATGGTTGTATGTTTTTTTGGCTTAGCGTCTTTACAATTACTTGTCTTTCTTCTCATGAAAAACTGTCTGTCAATTTTGTTCTGAGGAGTGCAATATTTATTCAAATAGTTCGCAAATGCATCAAACTCAGTATTTTCCAGGGATACACTTTTTTCTATGATTTTGGTAACATTGACAGAATCTAAAGTGCTTTCCAGGACTGCCAACCCATCCTCGTTGAATTTAGTACTCTGAATCACAGATTCATCCAACTTTGGTTTCTTCTTCTGTATTTCTGTGAGGCTACATTCGATTGGACGTTTATTAATTTCATTAGTCTCTTCGTTCTGACTCGAACTACTGCTCTCGATCTCATAATTGTTGAGTGATGACAGTGAACTGATTCCACTAGATGTTGTGGCTGAAAAAAAAAATGAAATGTTAGTATCATATAACATCATGGCCACGAATTCGTGAAAAAGATTCTATTTTATCAAGTCATTGGATTTTTGTTTAGATGTATGATGAATTTATATTCATCATCAGGGCGTGGAAACAAATTCTGCATTGAGAAAACCCAATCACGAATCTCTGATTAGAGGTATTTAAAAATAACAAATTTCCATCGTTCAACTTTGAACTCCTTGATTGGATATGAAAGTATTGAAAAGGAATATTTTCAGATATATTATGAACACTAAAAAATGGATACTAATAGTGAAATACATTGAGAATTCGATTTTCATTCTCTTCTAGATAAAAATATATGCAGAGTGACCCATTTGAAAGCGGGCCACCCTCATAAATATTCTATTTATGAAGCGATTTTCATGAAAATTTCTTTAAACCAGAGCACACCAGATCACATTCAGAGGCTGAAAAATACAGAATCCATATTAGCGTTTTTTTAAGAAAAAATCCGCATACACCACTGGATAAGGCGTCCTCTGAAATAGGGCCAAGTTTTATGGAAAAATCAAAGAATCTACAGAGTATCTCATTTCATACGCTTCCCCTCTTTATCTCAGCTATAAGTCGTGCAATCTTCACCAAATTGGTACCGGTATTTATGACCATCAAAATGATCAGTTTTTCAAAGTGATACATCCTTTTGGACAATGTCGTGCGTTTTTATTGAAATGAAAAGGGGTAAATTTTTCATGAAATCATCTTAAAATTTTTCTTAACAGGAAAACTGACCTCATTATATTGCTCTTCATGGTTTGAAACCCTCTTAAAAAAGCAGGCGAATCTGAACAGCATATTTGCGAACGTTATAATAATTTACTCGGGAACGGTGAGTTCAACAAAAAAAAGTGATTCTTGTTTTTTCTTTCAAATCACGATTTTCTATTTACAAAAGCTATTAAACGTTCCAAAATTTGCATTTATTTTGAATTCACTATTTTTTCGAGGCTGAAAGTGAAAAAAATAAGCCAATCCTGTTATTGAAATCCTATAGGATTGAAACTGACATACTTTTAGCTTCCTGTTTATGATTGTTACGATGAGAATTGGTGGCGGGAAAACAAAAAGCATCAAATCCAGTTCAGTTTTTCCTTCTCTTCACGATTCCTTTGATGAACTTTGTCAATTATTACATACAGTGTGTTATTTTAATATTTCGAATAAATGTAAATTTTTCCTGAAGCCGTACCTGGATTTTCACTTCGCCCGATAGGTGAATGCATTCAACGTCCCAAGTTTAAGCTCCATGCCAAATTTCAGAAAAATATACTGGGTAGTTCAATAATTATAGACGAATGAATAATTATTCGAAATCGATAAATCGCCCTGTATCTCCGTTATGAAAACTCTAAGACCTATCAAATATGGTATTTTCAGAACCACCTTGGTGACCCCTATCTACCATTGAAATATTTCCCTTTACCTGTGAAACACCCTGTATATGGCCCAATGGGAAGATATCCAGGTGGTGCAAAATACTTATATTTTTCACCGCTGAAGCTCCCCTTGAGGCTTTCCAGGACATATATCCATTCACCTTAACAAGGGCAATTGAGCATATAGAATAGATAGGAAGTATAACACTGAAAAAATCATAAAATTTGATTTATTAATTTATTTTTGTTATTTTATCACAGATAATGCACCAAAATCAGGGGACAGCTTGCATGGATTCAATCAATGATATGCCTTATGTATTTTTGACAAAAAAATCCATAGTAAGATATTTTTTCCCAATGAAAATGACAGATTTCCGATTTGCTCTTCGAATTTTGAGGTGAAGATTGGGTCAAATGAACAGGTGATATAATAACTCTATTTTCATTCTACTACTGCTAGGCGTCCTTATAGATGAAAAGACCTATTGTAAGGAGATATTTCATTTTTCTTGAATATATTAGATATTTTTCGATACCCATTAATTATTTTAGAAATACAAAATATTTTAAATATGGTGTTCACTTTTATGGAAGTTGTTTGCTCCTCATAGAGACCTTGGTATAAACTAGCAGAACACCACATTATATATCCACCATGTAGTGATAAACCTTTCTAGGGAATATGGGCTTTATTCATCATAAAACTTATGTGAAAGTATTACAAATAATAAGACGTCAAAATGTCATAATGACATAAATTAATAACAGGTTAGGTAATTATCGAACATCACCACATTCTTCCTCCCATCAATAATTCATCTCATAGTCCTTCAATCTTTCTGGCAGACGACGATATGAACGAGGGTGAGAACTGTCTTGAAATGTGGATGAAGAATTAGGTGTTGAGTGGGAGGCACGGCGAGAGGGAGTAGACTCATCAAGAACAACATTCTCTCCAGTGGTAGGAGGATCTGGTTATCCTTGATCAATAAGTGGATCTTCAGGATAGTCTGCGGTGGCAGGTGGCTCTTGATTTTCTTGATCAGCAAGTTGATATCCAGATTCTTGATTATCCGATTGGTGTTGGTATGAGGTTAGGTCATTTTAATTAAGAAATGGAGGAAGTTACGGTTGTATTTCTACTTGGCCGTTGGGAGCCAAGTGTTTAATGGACACGGTTGTCTGCCTTCCATCTTCTAGCCTGACTCGGGCGTATTGCGTATTCACTTCTATAAGTTCCACTTCTTCAACCAGTGGGTCAAATTAACTTGATCGCACATGTTTCTTCATAAGAACTTCAGAAGAATGAACTAACCAGGAAGGTAGAGAGCAGCCATTGGTAGATCTCCGATTATGCATGAACATCCTTTCATGGGGTGTTTCGTTAGTTGCTCTGCAAAGGAGAGATCTGATGGAATGAAGGGCATCTGGGAGAATTGGACACTTCCAAGTTCCTTTGTTTCAGGGCGAGACACACCGTTAGCCAAATAGTGCCATTCTCGCGCTCTATCTGTCCATTACCGGGGGGATTGTACGGAGTTGATTGAGAGGTCGCCACACCGCGTGTGTGGAGAAAATTTTGAATTTCTATCCGTCTGAACATAGTAAGGGACTCCGAACATTGAAAACAAGTCAACGAGACAATGAGCGTGTACACCTTAGTAGAACTTTTAACTCAAACATTCTCCCCCCGGTGAAGTATCTGAGCATTCTTCATCTTATAATTATTCGCACAATTTTGTTACTGGGCGTTTGTAAATACTATTATTTATTCGAACATCGGCTACACGAATATGACCGTCAATACCAGGATATACAGAGACTATTTTTCCAATTCTCCAAGAACTTCTTGGTGAGTTGTCGTCAACAATAATAACAATGTCATTAACTTTCAAGGGTCTTTTATCATCTTTTCACTTTTTCCGATGGGTGAGAGAGGGTAAATATTCTTTCACCCATCTACGCCAGAAATTGTTTGTCAACATCTGTGACTTTCGCCATTCCTCCTTCAGAAATTTCTTGGAATCAAAATCTCCAGGTCGCCCTTCAGAGTGTGCGGTGTTATCGCCTCAGGAACTGCTGGATCCACTGAAACATGTGTCAAAGGACGAGAGTTGACTATACTCTCAGCCCCTGTGAATAGTGTATACAGTGTTTCATCTTCCATTGCCTGGCCGTAAACCACTGCACCGAGAGATTCCCCTCATATGTGGTGCTCCTGGAGGAATGAATCTGAATTGTATACTTTCTGATCTCATCTTGTCTACAATCGTGGACTCATCTAACTCTTTGAATGCAAGTCGTAGTTCTTCGGATGCCCCTCGCAGATTTGTTCCATTGTCGCAGAAGATACTATCCGGATGTCCTCTTCGAGAAATCAGCCTCCTTATCGCCATAACTGCTGAGTCTGTTGTTAGTGAATATGCTATCTCTTGGTGTATAGCTCTTACTGCTAGACATGTGAACATCACGCCCCATCTGTTTTCTCGTCGCCTTCCTACAGAGACATTTATAAAAGGTTGAAGTCCAGGAGTGAGTCGTTCCTTTGGCAGCTGTCCCATTATTGGCGGCTGAGGTTGTACTCGTAGCTTCATACATCTTTTACAATTTCTTGCTACAAATTTGACGGCTGCACGTGCATCTGAAATCCGGAATTCTTGACGAATTTCATTTACTTCCTTGATGACTAAACTTCTCATGAAAATGTCGGATTAACAGCTTGGTGAGATAATGTTTTGGACATAGGATATATGGTTGCTTAGTCCTAGCTGCCCGAGAAGATGACAAGTTAGTTCTTCCTCCAAGGACTAGACGGTTTTGGTCATCAATTGCAGGGCATAGTTTTCTCAGTCGGCTTCTTCGGTTCACTATCTTTTGTCCTCTCAGAGTTCGGATATCTTCTGAAAAACCGTCTTCATGAGAAATTCGAATACAGAGGGTTTTCGCCTTGGCTAGCTCTTCCACTGATAAATACTTCTCAAATTGCTGTGATTTTTTCAGAATTCTATTTCTCAATAGTTTTCCAAATCTCAAAACCCAAGCAACAGTTCTTATCAATTTTGAAAATTTTGAAAATCTTGAAAAATCTAGAATTCTTATAGGTTCGTTTTCCTCTTCGTTGACATTTCCCATAAATTCGGATTTCAATTCCGAAATGTCCTCAATCATGTCTGCATTATCTGGATCTTCGTCATCTAGGCCAAATTCCTTCGACCAAACATCTCTAGATTGTCTCAGAAAATCTGGTCCAGTGAACCAATTACTACTGAAGATCGCATTTTCCTAGTCGATTTTATACCTGGTAGCCGAATCAGCGATGTTCAATCTGGTGCTTATCCAATACCAACTTCTTGGATCTGATCTGTCCTGTATCTCCCCAATCCGATGGGATACAAACTGCGTGTATTTTCGCCCATCGCTTTTTATCCATTTGAGGACGCATCTTGAATTAGAACAGTAGAGAATATGACTGATATGTATCTCTGGTTCTTCTTTAAGGGTAGATGCAAGTCGACTTGCCATGACTAGGGCAGTTTCTATTCTTGTGGATGTTGAAAATCTCAAGTAAGCTAAGGATGCAAATGCTTTCTCACTGCCATCACAGAAGATGTGAAGCTCTACCTCTGAAGGACTGGAAATCAGTGTCGAATAGCATAGAGGAATCCTCAATTCAGTAGTTCTCTTGAGCTCAT